TATATATATATATATATATATATATATATATATAAATAAATTATTATACGTACTATATATCAATAAAAGTAACGGAGATTAAGAGGAAAAGAACGAACGAACAGAGGAAATATGTCCTTCTCATTTTTTCATAGCTTTAACGAAATTGTTGTGTCCACGTTGTTTTTTTCCCTAATTAGAAAATAGTTTCGATAATGATATTAACGCAGATTATATCGGACATACACCGAGAGGACATTAGTTCCGAAAAAAAAATTACACCTCGTAATTCATTCAATAAAACTCTCCTAAAACTTAGTCAACTTATTGGTCTTAATAATAAAGAATTGTGATTAAAACTCGATTTGGATAGTTTTATTTTATTCCATGAAACTACAACGATGTTGCACACCGACATTTTAAACATTCATTATCGAAAACTATCGATGGTAGAGGCTAACTATTGATACGCATTCGATAATCGATTATCAGTTACCATTAACAACTGCGATACACACTACCATCGATAGTTTTTCGATCTTCTACTCTTACTCCTACTCCTTACCCTACTGTGGGCTGCATATGTATGCACCGCACTAGTGTGTATGTGTATATATATATATATATGCACGTAGTATGCAAAGGTACATTATAGTGCATGCGTAATATGTATATGTATTTGTATGCTGTACGACTGGATCGTAGAAAGGTTTTTCAAAATAGTACATCGAAAAAAGAAATCCAAATCTGTGTGAATCAATGCTGATCATTTGAAAGTAAGATTGCTCTGCATGAAATGATTAGTAGAAATAGACATCATCCTTTGATCATAACATGTATCTCAACTGTGTGAAACCGAGATCCACTTTTATGGTTGGTTATGGAATAGGTTTCCTTGGTACGTTATTCGTGTTCATTTTTCATGATGCATTTAGCGTTAGGTCTACTTGCGTAAGCACTTTGCCAAGCTCTGGTCTCGATCGGAGAAGCACCCTTCTGAAATGGCTTGTCGACACCTGGAACGACGAAGAAGAGACAGTTATTCAGGCTTGGAAAGATCAACCATCGGGACAAAATCCAACGTATAACGAATGGTTGAAAAGCGTGAATATGCGAGTTGATAAGGTTGATCTGGATTCTTATCTTTATGGAGCAAAAAAAAAAAAAACGAAAAATTGGAGTCCGATTGGCTCGGCTCTAATGTTCGAATAACTTGCGTCATATTTGTAACAAAAGTAAAACTTGCAAGATCTATATGGCACACATGGGGAACACGTTGTAATAACATCTATTTTTTTGGTAAAGAAAAGGATGTTTTAGTGCCTATAATAACTTTTGATACCAAGCTTGTATCTTCGTGGCAACTATTATGCGAAGCATTCAATTATGTTTGGAAGTCTAATGAAAATTTGGAGTGGGTCGTATCGGTAAAAGACGATACATTGGTCATTCCTGAAAATCTACGGTATATGCTTGCTCCGTTGAATCATACGGACGATCATTATTTAGGTCATACGGTGGTATTGTGGGGACAACCGTATAATGTCGCTAACGCAGGATACGTAATAAGCATGGGAGTTTTAAGGAAATTGGTAGATATGTTTGATAATTCTGAGAAGTGTATAACCGGTGGCAAGTACTGGAAGCAAGAGGATTATTATCTTGGTATATACTTTGATGTTTAAAACTTTCCGCGTATATACTTTAGCATACACGTATATACATATAGCATTCATATAATAATACATTTATACGCGTATTTCAGCTAAACATTTGGCATCTATGGGAATTTATCCTTCGGATACGAGAGATCAGCGCTTACGGGGTACATTCCATGGGTACTCTTTGCAATCGCTGTTGTGGGGTATCGTTAAAACTGGTAGTTACTGGACTCGTGCTCTGTATCCGATACGAAACGAGTGTTGTTCTTTTATGTCTGTCACTTTTAATGTCGGAGAACCGGACAAAATGTATACCTTGAACTATTTATTATACCACTTACACGTCTTGAAAAGAAAAAGTGTTTTCGGAGCTAAACGGCCATTAATGGTTATACCCGACAAAGATGTAGGTTTATTATGCTACTTGTTGTTATCTAATATATTTTGAACAAAGAAACCTCTAGATTAATCGAACGATTACCGTCCTCCTCAGGTATGGAAGATCGCGCTAGAAGAAGAATTTAATATCACGCATTTGAATAATATTTCTTCGGATGCTTACTACGAAATTTGGCATTCAAAATATTCAGAGCCCGAGCAGCTAATGAGCAAGGATTATCAACGTAAACTTTACGATAGGACAATTTAGCTATCGAATTTCTGCCTTCGAAAATTGAGACGAATTCCGATAAGTAAAACAGACTTTTAAAAAGTCATTTCTTTTCGTTTTATCGTTATAATTATTGTTCACGTATTATTTATATTGATTTCAGAGATTATTAACATACGATACTCTACTAAAATTTAATTATTTATTTGCTTTATTTTTTACATATATATGTATACATTTTTAAGGTTCTGGGTTTTATAGTCGTGCGTTTACAGATTAACAAGTCTCATTGATATCGGTGCGGTAACACTGAGAATGGTGCTATTTGATAAGTATTTCCCTTGTTATACCATTGCTGCCTTATCTAACTAATTAGGAAGTTATTAACGCTCGGAATGACCGTGATAATCAAATCGCATTTCCAGGCTTAAATGTGCGTAAAAAATGTAGGAGAGTATTTTCTACTTCGTGTGTACAACTTAAATAAAATTATCGATTTTCATTCAATAGAAATTCGTGTACTCGGTGTTTTTTGAAGAGGCGAAAAATATAATTGTTAGTTCTATTTTGCGGATACACACATAGTACCTGAAATAATGTACAATTGTTTTTATGTAAAAAAGTTCGCACAAAGTGATTGCAATGTAACATTCCTATCGAAGACAATAAATACCGAATGTTTCAGAAGACAACGTTTTTATTGACCGCTTGTCGGCCGATCTCTCTTCACTTTTTTCGACCTACATTTCTAACTGATATTTTTTCTTCGAATCCTCTTATCGAGCAGGAATTTATTTATCAGCCATGCACTTCCTTTTGGAGGCTGTATAAAAGAAGAGGTCCATTAGTTTGCTTCTACTGGCAGAGCAAGCCTTCCAACGTGCTCCATGCAATTACTTTGAAGATGGTTCAAGTGTTATTCCTCGAATAAGATGGTGCTGTGGAAAGTATTTGTTAAAACTGCGATAATCGTCGGCATTACGAGCCAAGTAATTGCTGTCAATTATACAAAAGAGTCCTCCGAGTTTACCGAGTAAGCGTAATTGTAAGCGTAGTTACCAATTAATAATTGATAAGTGTATGTATTATGTACGTTTATTTGGTAGAAACGATCTCTTAAATGACGCTCGCAGCTCAAGCGATGGCGTTAAAAGGACTAAAAGTGCTGGAAGAAGACGTTCGTTTAAAGGCGGTTGCACCAAACAACCGGATGCACCTGTGAACGGTAACATTCGATGTTCGATGGATAGGTAACTTGTCGCCAGCTAATAAATAAATTATTCAAGCTGATTGTATACGTTAAGAAAACAGAAAACATATATATGCCATTTTTGTTTGCAGCGCATGTATCGCAACCTGCAATCAGAATTATAAATTTCCAAACGATGTTACGCAGTTGGCTGTAACTTGTAACGATAAACAATGGCACATCTTTGGTACAGAATGGATTTCTGTACTACCTCACTGTGAACGTAAGTTCTCCTCCAAGATGTTTGAAATTCTTTTCTTCTTTCTTTAGACAAAAAAAAAAAGAATATATATATATAATAGTAAATCGAATAATGTCTGTTCAGCAATTTGTATGCCCGAGTGTTTGAACAATGGAGTATGCGTCGCCCCTCATCAGTGTAATTGCCCCGAAGATTTTATCGGGCCGCAATGCCAATATCAGAATAAACCATGCATGGAGTATCCATCTACCGTACTTAATTCTCACAAGCATTGTAATTCGAAGTATGTTATTCGACGAACATAAAATTTCATTTTATTATACTCCGGACCGGACGTTGATCTTTGTTTTCTCTTTTCTATCGTAGAACGTGCAGCATATCTTGTATGAAAAATTTCACGTTTCCCGACGGCACTTCCATCACCAATCTACTTTGTAAGAATGGAGACTGGATACCTAGTAGACAAGATTGGGTCTCTGTGCCCGACTGCGAACGTATGTATCGAATTTACTGGGAATACAAACTACACAACTAGCATTAGATTTGCGAAAGTTAATACGTGAACCTATTTTAAACGACGTAGCTGTGTGTAATCCTCCTTGTCAAAACGGGGGGAACTGTTTGCCGTCGAACCTTTGTCAGTGTCCGCAAGCGTATCGAGGACTGCAATGTCAGTACCGTAAGTATCGTGTATAGATTAGTGTATAGATGATAGAATATAGAATATAAGGTATGAAGTATAGAATTTAAAAAATAACCGTTGTCGATTGTATATATATAGCTGCCGATACTTGCAATGGAGAAAAAATGGGCTTCAACGGTGGTTTTTTCTGCACCAGCGAGGGTAACAGTTATTCCTGCAGTCTCAACTGTCCGGATGGTGTAGAATTCGAGTTTTCTCCTGCAACCGAATACAAATGTGCCTATGAGACCGGCGTTTTCGAGCCTCAACCGATACCCCGATGCAAATACAGTGAGAACGCCAATGTAATTTCTTTGGGCACTACGTACAATTCCTACGTAAGGGGAACGAACCATACATGGACGTATCAGGATATCGTAGGTTCCAATAACAACCGAGCTCCCATGATTACGACCAGCAACAATCTTTACCATAATACTACCTCGAACTTGGTAATGATATTTGAAAACCACACGATTTTTTATGACTCGGCCTATAATTCTACGCGTACGATACAATACATAAACAAATAGATGATAAGATTTCTTTACGAGTACAGATGCAATTCGTTTCTCTGGATGACAACATGTTATTCATCGAAGAGAAGCGACCAATTCCAGAAACTTGCTTCACCTGGGGAGGAGTACACTACAAAACTTTCGACGACAGAATTTTCAGCTTCGACAGCGACTGCTCTCATATTCTGATTCAAGAAGCACAGAACAGAGTTTTCACTGTAACAACAGAGAACAGTCCGACTTGCAGGACGGAAGATTGTTTCAGAATCATAAAGATCTATGTTCAGGACAGGGAGTACATTCTTACGAAGAATGTATTCGGTACCCCAGAATTTCGAATCCTAAATAAACTGCTACCTATTCCGGTACAGCTGCCTGTTTTAAGGGTCGAATTTTCGGCACATTTTATCGTGGTGACTTTGGACTCGCTGGGAATTCGAATCAAATGGGATGGAGCACTGATGCTGGAAATCGAAGCTTTGGAGAACATGTGGAACAAAACTATTGGCCTCTGCGGCAATATGAACGGCGATCAAACCGACGATCTGATACGCAGAAACGGCGATCGTGCGCGAAGCATCGCAGCGTTCGCTTCTTCTTGGAGAATAGAAAATATTGGAGGTATTGTTGAGATGCGTGCGCGCCTGTGTTGTTTCTTCCTGGTTTCTTATCGTCATTGTCTCGACACGTTATTAATGCGATACTATATTTACAGAGATCTGCGACGAATATCCGGATACCCGACACGCTTGCGAATCGAATCCATTTGCTGCCAGCGAAGCCATGAGCTTTTGCAGTAGTTTGCTATCCGATCGCAGATTCCTGGCGTGCGCGCATACCATTAGCATAGACGAGTTGCGGACCGCGTGCTTATGGGATTATTGCGGTTGCAAGAATAACGACCGGAGGAATTGCGCTTGCGATACAATGAACGTCTATGTTAGACAATGCGCGCACAAGAAAGTAATATCTTTGTCGGGTTGGAGGAACAACGATACCTGTCGTAAGTGTGTTCGAATTCAAAGATAAGGGAATACACAGCAATAACGGCAACATCGTTTCGTTGATCGGTTCTACTATCGATTTAGCCATGCGTTGCACCAATGGACGAGTATACATGGCTTGTGGTTCGAAAACGGAGTCGTCGTGCTGGACCGCGATAGGAAAAATGCTGACAAACGTGGACGACTGCGAGGAGGGATGTTTTTGTCCGCAAGGGACCGTGGCGCACGAAGGAAAATGCATAAGTACCGAAGAATGTCCGTGCCGATTACGCGGCAAGCTGTTCCAACCAGGCAAGAGCGTACGGAAAGACTGTAACACGTGTACGTGTTTCTCCGGGAAATGGATATGCACTCAGACTAGATGCAGTGCCAGATGCGCCGTCATTGGGGATCCCCATTACACAACATTCGACGGAAAACATTACGATTTCATGGGAAAATGTAAATATTATCTAATGAAGGCCGAGGATTATTCCATAGAAGGCGAGAATGTACCTTGTTCCGGTGCGATAACAGAGGTATGCCTGTCCTGTCCATCCTTCGTGCTGCTTCAACGAACGTTATTTTGCGCTTGGGTGCTATGCTTAGGTCGATTTATTCGCAGAGTATGGGGCTTGTTCCAAGCGATGCGCCATCCTGTACGAAAACCGTGACGATCCATTACAAAGAAACGACCGTAGCATTGAGGCAACATCGCGCGGTATCGGTAAACGGAGATGATTTAGCTGTACTTCCCACTGTTCTCGATGGTATAAGAATACGCGTTGCCAGCAGTATATTTCTCGTAATCGGTTTACCAAATGGTTTAGAGATATGGTGGGATGGAATTTCTCGCGTATACATTAACGCTCCACCCGAATTTCATGGTAAGTTCGAACCATCTCTCTTCTTCTTCTTATTATTATTATTATTATTATGAATTATAGTTTGTACTGGTTTACGTTGTAAGCAAGCATTATTATATTGTTAGGCAAAACCAGAGGACTTTGCGGCACGTTCTCGGAAAACGAAAAAGATGACTTCCTTACACCGGAGGGCGACACGGAACAGTCGTCGGTATGTTTCGCTAATAAATGGAAGACGGACGAGCTGTGCTCCGATGTCCCAGAAAAGGAATCGGATCATCCTTGCGACTTGAACCCGCAGAAACGAGCAATAGCGAAACAATACTGTTCCCACCTATACAGCGATATATTTGCAGGTAACAGTTTCAGATGTTTAAGAGAACGACCCACATTTAGAGTTCTCATTCGCGATTCTTCTAATTAGATTGCCATTGGCACGTGGATCCGGAAACATTTTACAAGGACTGCATGTTCGATATGTGTTCTTGCAAAGTGAATCTCGAGTTGTGCCTTTGTCCCGTATTGGCGGCGTACGCGAAAGACTGCGCTTCCCAGGGAGTGAATCTCTTGTGGCGCCTGCACGTCGAAGAATGTAGAATTCATTGTCCTGGAAATCAGGTGTATCAGATTTGCGGGAACAGTTGTACCAGATCCTGCGCAGACATATCTTCTTATCCAGATTGCAAACAACAGTGCGTAGAAGGATGCAATTGCCCGGAAGGTGAAACGTTGGACGTCCATGGAGAATGTATTCCGATCGGACAATGTCCTTGCTTTCACGCAGGATTCGAGTTTCAAACGGGACACAAAGAAGTCAGGCCCGGGAACAAAGCACCCGAACTTTGCACCTGTGCAGGTATGTCAGATGCGTTCTTTACATCGAAATGTTGCATATGCATGATGTATAATGTACATTGTACCAGCGATACCAACGATTTTCTTCGATAGCTGGCGTTTGGAACTGTCGACAAGCTACGTCCGATGAAATAATAGAGTACCCGGCGATCAAAGACCTTTTAACTTCTTGCGTAGCGAGCAAACATCTCCAAGTTACAGACTGCGCACCGATAGAGCCTCGAACTTGTCGCAACATGCAGAAAAATCATGTTCGAAAACCAACCATTTGCAAATCTGGCTGTATTTGCGAACCCGGCTATGTTCTGAACGTATTGGGCGGCGATTGCGTCAAGGAAGAATCTTGTCCTTGTCATCATGGAGGTGAAAGTTACGACGATGGGTCTGTCATTCAAAACGAATGCAACACTTGCAAGTGCTTGAACGGGACATGGGATTGTACGGATAGGTCGTGTGCCGGGATTTGTTCCGGTTGGGGTGACTCTCATTACAGGACGTTCGATGGGAAGATCTATGATTTTCAAGGAACTTGCGACTACGTTTTGGCGAAGGGCGCGTTGAACACCGAAGATTCCTTCGACGTATCGATTCAGAATGTACCTTGCGGAACAACGGGTGTAGCCTGCTCAAAGTCGATTACTCTGTCGATTGGAAATGACGAAAATTCAGAAGTTATCGTTCTAACACGAGGAAAAGAATTACCTACGGGAAAGTTTAACAGGCTGGTAATAAGATCGGCTGGATTGTTCGTATTTGTCGATGCACCGGACCTGGGATTAACCGTTCAGTGGGATAAAGGTACCTTTTTTATAACAGTTCTATCGATCGGAATCAAATTCTTTGCTGAATGTAACGTAACACGAGCAAGAGACGAACCAAGTTTTTCATAGTTGCATAATCACGATTTGTTGCATTTCATAGGTACCAGAGTATATTTAAGATTAGATCCTAGATGGAAAAGTCGTACAAAAGGGCTGTGCGGCGATTACAACGACAACAGTCAGGATGACTTTAAAACACCTTCCGGCGGTATATCGGAAGTGTCTGCAAACTTGTTCGGAGATTCTTGGAAGAAGCACGATTTTTGTCCCGAACCCAAAGACATTGTTGATCCTTGCGAACAACACCCGGAGAAGAAGTTATGGGCCGTGGAACAATGCGACGTTCTAAAGTCTTCTATTTTTCAACCGTGCCACTCAGAAGTTCAAGTTGAAAGTTATTTGCGCAACTGCATCTTTGACACCTGTGGCTGCGACACAGGTACGAGAGAGAGAGAGAGAGAGAGAGAGAGAGAGAGAGAGAGAGAGAGAGAGAGAGAGAGAGAGGA